TGACTACGAGCTACACTCTCTTGACTTCAGCACTGCTTTCCTGCAGGGCAGCCTTCACGAGGAGATCTGGCTGCGCCGCCCACTTGGCTACACTGGGACTTTTCCTCTTGGCACCCAGTGGAGCCTCCGGCGGCCAGTCTACGGTCTCCGCCATGCACCGCGTGAGTGGCACGACACACTGAGGACTACACTTGCGGCTCTTGGGTTTGCTCCCTCTACTGCCGACCCGTTGCTGTTTCTGCGCACCGACACTTCTCTGCCCCCGTTCTACATCCTCGTGTACGTCGAAGACTTGGTCTTTGCCACAGCTGACACTGCTGGACTCGGCCAAGTGAAGTCCGAGCTGCAGAAGAGACACACGTGCACTGATCTGGGTGAGCTACGCAGCTACCTTGGCTTGCAGATCACTCGGGACAGAGCACGCCGCACCATTACCCTGACTCAGTCACACATGGTGCAGCAGGTCCTTCAGCGCTTCGACTTCACGTACTCCTCGCCTCAGGCCACTCCTCTGCCTACTCGCCACTCGCTCTCAGCTCTGCCTTCGGATGAGTCCGTAGAGTCGAGTGGCCCGTACCCAGAGCTTGTTGGCTGCCTCATGTACCTGATGACCTGCACACGACCTGACTTCGCATACCCTCTTAGCATTCTCGCACGCTATGTTGCTCCTGGGAGACACAGACCAGAGCACATGGCTGCAGCGAAGAGGGTGCTGCGTTACTTGTGCAGTACGTCGGGCATGGGGCTTGTGCTTTGAGGGCGGAGTCCAGTGGTCCTCACTGGGCACGCAGACGCTTCTTGGGCTGACGACCAGGCTACGCAGCGGTCGTCACAGAGTTACACCTTCAGCCTTGGTTCCGGCTCTGTTTTGTGGCCGGCTACTCGCTCGTCTTCTGTTCTCGGCTCTAGCTGTGAGGCTGAAATCTACGCAGGAGCCATGGCTGCACAGGAGCTTCGCTGGCTCACCTACCTGCTGACTGACCTCGAAGAACCGCCTCGTTCTCCTCCAGTGCTGTACGTAGACAACAAGGGCATGCTGGCCTTGTGTCGGGAGCAGCGACTGGAGCACAGAACGAAGCACATTGCTCTCCGCTACTTTCTTGCTCGTGAGCTGCAGCAGCGTGGTCAGCTGCGTCTTGCGTACGTGGCCTCTGAGGCCAACACTGCTGATATCTTCACCAAGGCGCTTGCGCCTTGTGACCATCAGCGCTTCTGTACTCAGCTAGGTCTTGTGCCTGCCTTGCCTCATTTGCTCACCTCTTGACCTTGCTTGTACTGTTCCATATATATGTTCTCCTGCTCTTGCTTGTCTAGCCTTTTTTATATATGTATGTACTCCTGCATCTGAACTGGCCTTGTGGCCTTGAACTTGTGCTCGGAATGCGTGGTGACTTTGTGATCCACCCTGAGCTTGCTTTGCTTTTCTTTGCTTGACTGGTCTTGTGACCCCTTGTTCTCCCCCACTTTGCCTATGGGGGTGTGTCAGAACATTTTAGCTCATGCATATTGTATAGCCCAATTAGGGTTAGTACTTGTACCCAACTCATTCATAGTTCATTCTTTCTCGTTTCAGTAACTTCACCGCGACGGGGCCTTAAGAGGGCGCGACGGGCCGCTAAGGGCAGGGGACGCGACGGGAGGGCAGTCGCATGGGGCGCGACTAGGGCAGGCGCGAAGCGCGCTCCGGGCAGGTAAGGAAAAAAAATATTGGTTTCGTGGTGGGCCCAAGGAAACGTTCCCACTAGGGAACCTGCTCTATACCATGTGAAATAACGAGGAATGGTTGACTAGGAAATGTGATGGGTACAAGTATGAAACCCTAGGAAACCGTACCCCTTAGTATCTACCCCTCTACAGCCTAAATAAGGCCATATGATAAATGTTTGACAGCCAATCCACCCTATTGTGGTGGAGCCCCCAAATGCAACCCACTTGGCTTAGGGTTGCCTCACTTCGCACAAGTGAGGCCAACCCAACTCAAGTGGGCCAAAGGTTGCCTCACTTCCAACAAAGTGTGAACAACCCAACCCACTTGACCTAAGGTTGCCTCACTCCCCAAGAGAGGCCAACCCAACCTATGGTCAAACTTGCCCCTTCCCTCCAACCTCCTCTTCCATCTATGTATGCTAGTTCCTACCCTAATGACAAATTGGTTCCAATTCCAACTTTCACAATTAACGGAGGGGGGGGGGGCGGGGGGGGGGGGGGGGGGGGGGGGGGGGGGGGGGGATCGCATCGAGCGTGCGCGCTCATGCCCACCTAGCCCATCTCCTCTCCTCATCGAGACTTGGGGGTTATTAGCGGAGGGGATCGCTATGAGCGTGCGCGCTCATGCCCACCTAGCCCACCTCCTCTCCCTTTCCTCTCTTACTTCCCCCTCTGTAAAAAGAGGTTCGTAAGCGGGTACCCCGGGCATTGAGCGTGCGCGCTCATGCAAGCCCCCCACCTCCTCTCCTCTTCTCTCCTCTCCTCTTGCATCCTCCTTCATTACCTCTCTGCCTTCTTCCACAGCGGCTGATTTACTCCTTCAAGGGGTGCTGACTGCACCAGTTCCTACCGCAAGAAGGCTAAGGGGGTGTGTCAAAGTTGTTATATCCTGCTTGCTGTAGTTACTGTCGTTATTGTTACAAACTGTTGGTGGTGCACCTTTCCTTTCTTGTTTGTTCTCTATTTGTACCAATTGATCCATAGTGAAACCCTCCTTCTTTTGCGACATCCTCTCTCCCTCCCTCCTAAGTTCCTAGTGTCAGATGTTGATCTTTGTGATAGGCTGTAGTAAGGTGATCCTTAGTGAGTACAACTCAGTTAGGGTTTGCTATTTGTATCACCCACATTCCTAATCTCATCATTCCGTTGCATTCTTACTTTGAGATGGTATCACAAGTAGATTAGTTCCTCGTTACTTCCTAGCCCCCGCCCTCTCTAGCGCACCTCCGCGCCCTCCGTGCCCTCCGCGCCCTCCGCACCCTCCGCGCCCTCCGAGCCTTAGCATCCGTGCCCTCCGCGCCCTCCGCGCCTGAGCCTCCGCGCCCTCCACGCCCTCCGTGCCTTAGCCTCCGCGCCCTCCGCGCCTTAGCGCCTCCTCTTCCGTGCGTCAGCGCCCTCCGTGCCCCTAGCCCGCGCCGTCGCGGACCTCCGCGCCTAGCGCCCTCCGCGCACCTAGCCTGCGCCCCTAGCCCGTCGCCCAGGCCCACGCCCTAGCCCGTCGCCCCAGCGCCCTAGCCCATCGCCCAGGCCCGCGCCCTAGCCTGTCGCCCAGGCCTGTGCCCTAGCCCGTCGCCCTGGCCCGCGCCCTAGCCCGTCGCCCCAGCCCGTGTCCTAGGCCGTCGCCCCAGCCCGTCGTGTAGCCCGTGCGCCTTGCCACAGCCTCTCGCATGGCCCGTGGCCCCTGCCCCAGCCCGTCGCGTCGCCCGTGCGCCCTACCCTAACCCGTCGCGTAGCCCGTGCGCCCTGCCCCAGCCTGTCGCGTGGCCCGTGGCCCCTGCCCCAGCCCGTCGTGCGCGCCTGTGCGCCCTGCCTCTAGCCCACGCGTCGCCCTGCCCCTAGGCTGCGCGCCCCCGCAGATATCGTGCCCCCACAGGTATCAAACTAGTAACAACCACTGTAAGAACCTTTTCAGAAACCTTACAAAAAACCGTACATATAACTAACGAGCATTGTGCAACCCATACAACCAACATAACTGAAATAACCATAATACTAGCATAGGCCACCAATGTCACCATGAGAGGTTGCACGTCATTGAAATTTGACAGAAAATTCCACATCCCAACGTCACTTCTTCTTTCTTCCATGTTCCCCCCCACTCCCTTCCTCTCCCTTTGTTCCTCTTCCCAGGGTGTGGCTTCAATGGTGGACGTGGGAGGTGGAACAACACAAATGGGAGGAGCAGTCGCCGATCTGTTCCTTATAACAAAGCAAGGAGGGCCAGCAGGGACGTCAAGCGGCCGTATCCCCTTTACAAGCCACCCCATGATAGTGGGGGACCTGCCAGCCCTGGCAGTGATGGGAGCGGGGGCAGTGATGGGCATGGATGTGCTCAAGAGGACCCGCTGTGTGGTGTGCTTCAAGGATAACAGGGTACTGTTGCAGAAGAAGTTTTAATGGTAGAGAGTTGTTTTTTTGGTGCTGTGGTTCATACTCGTAAACAGTAACATACCTAGCGGTATCACTCCATCAATCAATCAGGAGCTTGTGATACTGGTACGGTACTGCATGGAATTTCCTAATGTTTAGGCGCCGTATGGTACCATGGGCGGCTTCGGATCGGAGATTGGAGATCGGCTCCATGAGCAAACACTGGGTTGCCCTGCTGACTGGTTCGCTAGCTAAGGGCGTGTTCCTACGGCCTCTTATCAGGCGAACCTCTTGTCAGATTCGCGTCGCACCGCACTGGAACGCGCATAATAACATTCGATCGCATTGAATCGCATTGAACCGCACAAGTCTGACAAGAGGTCGCCTGATAAGGGGCTGTAGGAACACGCCCTAAGTCAGGATCACCATGATGACATGTGTCTGTTGTGCTCACTTCATTCCGTTCCAAGCAACTCATCAGGTAGTTTTGATTTAGAAGCAAGGGCACAGGTTTAAGTTCAATAGTGGTAAAGTTTCCCGCGGTAGGTACGGTAGGTTAAGCATCCACAGAGTCGAAACAATCAACAAAACTGAAAAATGTCATAAACACCAATTGGATGGATCAACATTGACTGTGATGTAATCCCAACAGCCTGCCATCACAAGCAAAGATCCCATACTCCAGCCATGCTGTTCTCTCTACCCCACACATCTTCTCTTCTCTTCTCCTGTCACGCAGCAACAAATGTACATCACCAGCACACCTCCTCCCCACCTGCTCATCTGCTCCACACAAGCCCGCCATTCCCTGCCTCGGTTCTCAGGCTTGACACCATATATCTCAACTTGAGCTTCAGAATGACCAGCCAGTGGAAGGACAGCAGTAATCAGCCATCCCAGGAACAACCAGCTTCCCTGGCTCCCTACGCCTCCTGGCCCTGCTCAGCTGCTCTCGATGCTGCGCGCATCTTCTCCCTCTGCTCCCGCGTCAGCCTCACAGGCCGCCTGCGCCTGCCTCCCAGCATTCCGCCCCTTTGCCCCGCCAGACCCTCCCCCGGAGCCCCCCCCTCGGGCATTTCCGCGGGCAAGGCGACGGACGCGTTGGTGAACGCGCTGAGCACCACGAAGGCCAGAATCGGGGATAGATCGAGGGTGCCTCCGATAGGGGGAATTAACCCTCGGAAAATGTTGAGGTAGGGGTCGCAGATGGTGCTGAGGGGGCTGACAATGGCGGAAGGAGCGTTGGGGAACCAGGTAAGGAGAATCCTCACTATAAGCACAGTATTGTACAGGTTAAGGAAGCTGTAAATTCCCTGTGTAACCACCAGCTCCGCTACAGTATCGCCGGGAATCACGGCGGCGAAAGGGGCGTTCGATTGCTTCATGAGCAGGTGAAGGGGATCCGCGGAGGGGGAAGCGGAGGGGGAACCAAGCAGGGGGAGGCGGAGCCGCTCCCCCACCAGCATCAGCGCATAGTACACGTCAGCAAGGTGGTCCAGCGCGGCTTCCGCCACCTCCTGCGCGAATCCCAGCGCGAACTGGCGCGCGAGTGCCACGTGGCGCTCGGTGATTTGCTGGAGGTCGCGGAGCGGGGAGGGGGAGGTGGCGCGGAGAGCAAGCGGCTTGGTGGTTGCGCTCATGCGGAGGAGGGAGTGAGAGAGAGGAGAGAAGGGGAGAGCGGAGGCGGGGAGGACGGCGGAATCCGCGGAGAGGATGGGCGCGGAGGCGGAGTAGTGCGCGCTGCAGGGAGGGGGGAGCGTGCAGGCGAGGGCGAGGGCCCCTTGAAGGAAGTCGGAGGAGTTGTGAGCGGCCATGGCTCTGACGGGGGAAAACAGGGATGGAAGGGGAGGAAGCAGGGAATGAATGGAATGATAGAAATTGAAATATGAAGAAAGGATGAATGAAAGTAATCAGCGGTACAGGGAACGAGAAGAAAGGGTTCATGTGAAGGCCATGCACCCTTAAGCAGCCGATGAGGAGGGGATGGACAGGATGGAGGGGAACAACGGGAAAAGGGACGTAATGACTACCGTTACGAGGAAGGGGATTTGGGTGAGCACAGGGAAGAAGTGTGGTGAACAAGGAAAGCAGCAAGCATTCGCAGACAATGTATTAGTGTCGGGATACAAATTATACAATTCAACATCATCCCATTCCCCAGTTTCCAGCATTTACAGTGCAATGCTGTTTGCATTCTCTCAAATTGACACATCACGAGTGAACGTGACAGGGCAGAACAAATTAATAGCTTTAGGCGACAGGTTTCCAAATTTACGCTGCTGAGGTGAGTAGGCACGCCATGGTATTTCAAGAAATGCAGTCAACAAGCCAAGGAGAGACAAACGCGGAATGGACATATCTTCCTGCTAGCTGCGAAAGAATAACTTTGCAATCCGAATTCTTTGTCCGAGGGAACAGGTTCGCATCCAACTCTGCAAGAATGACATCACTTGACTTACCGTATGCACATGTTAGTAACGCAAATTCCTCACCTCGAAGGAAATAAATGCCGCACAAGAGTCTCCGACCCGGATGGACCCTTCGCACCAAGTAACAACCGCGTGGGCTGTCAGTAACAAAGACGCAGGCGCAACAATTCGGAGATTGAATGTTTGCGTTGAGGTGAGTGGTTGATACCCTCACATAAGCATGGCTGATTCGGCAGGCAATGCAGGTCGGGCTGGTGTGAAAGGCTTGCGGGGAGAGGGAGGGAGTGAACAAGGCGGTGTTCGCCACGACCACGTTAAAGGCTAGGGGCGAGGGATGGGCGGGGTCCAGAAGGTGCGCCGGAAGATGCGAACTACGTCCGGGGGCTCGCCGTCGAACAAGGGGATCTCGAAATTTCGCCAATGGGATCAGGAAGGGGGACAAGGGGATCTAGCACCTACCTCCCCCCTTCCTTTAGGGCGAGATTTCCCGGCCATCCCGTTCCGCGCCCCCAAAATTCGTGGTATGCACGAGGGAGAGGCGAGGGAGGGGATGGGGTTCCTAGCTGGCAGGGCAGGAAACTGCCATGCGCATTCCGGTTTTCCCGCCCATCCCTTGGATGGCCCAAAAAAGTGGGTGTTCGCCACGACAGCGAGCCCACCGAGGCTCGGAGGGGACCTTCAGGTTCGACAGGATTTTGTCGGTCTGACCGGCCCTAAAACCCTGATTACAGCCCTTTCGGAAGGTGCATGGCGGGTTCCGGATCCCCCGCCAATCCCTTCGATGGCCTACAAAAGTCGTGGCGAACAGGGCTGACGGGGGTTGGAGGACAAACTGGTGGTAGTTCTGAACCCTATGGGGGTATGTCTTGAACTCGCACGGGAAAAAAGCCGAGCTGTGGTTGATGCCGCTTATACTGTACTTCTGGAGGTTTTATTAATTTGTGCGTGAAACAACCCTGAGACCCACCTCCCGGAACTGAAGCTTCACTCTGCGACCTGTCGCACTTACCAGTTCGAATTGAGCTTCGAGGCCCACGTTCTGAAAGGGAGAGCCTAAAACAGAAAATAATATTGCATTTCTTCCATTCGTCCTTCGTACCTGGCATCGTTCATAGCTGACATGGAAGCACCTCATACGTCCGTGTTGAAAGAAGAATATCGTTTCAATACGTGTCTATCTAACCTCCAACCTGCCACGTTTGCACCCTGCACCAACAGATCCTGACATACGCGGTTGGGCATGCTTCATACGACCTGGTCATGTTTTTCTTTACCGCACCTCTACACTAAAGCTATTGAAGGGCAACTATTGGGGTTGATGAGATAGTGGTTTTGAAGCGCTTAGGGGAGTTGACTTGGGCAATATCCTAGCGCAAACAAAAAACACACAAGAAAATTGATGGATCGAGTTATAAAATAGCCAACATTCATCGACAATAAGTTTCTATGCATAATAAGTAGAGAGTATCTCAAACTATGTTTCAATGTTGTAGGCTATAGTGGGGTAGCCTCTGCTGAGCACAACACTTTAGGGTTAGACCTTGCCCTACTTGTACTCATCCATCCATTCTAGTCTAAGATTGAGAACACGTGCATCACTAAAATTAATTCAGGATGCGGGTACAAGATTAAGGTGCTGGGCGTCGACAAAGCAGCCTTCAAGAGAACTGACGAAAAGCGGGTTGTTTTGAAGGACGTACTCTTAGTGCCGGAGCTGAAAGGGAAACTCATTTCCTTGAGGCAGATGGGGATTGCAGGCAGATGTGCACGGTAGGCCCTCAGATATCAGCGTAAAACACGTTGATTACGCTGATTTTGTAGCTGTGATTTTCGTTTTCCCTGAAAATTCAGCATATGCTTCAATTTTGGACTGAAATTTCAGTATATCCTACCTTGTCACACTGACCATTTTGCGTGTTTCTTTACAAGTAACACTGACGAATCATTATAGTGACGTGAGTCACACTGAAATGGAGGGGGGGTGATAGGGTACGCGTGTACAATCTGTACCTTCCCGTGATTCCTGAGACCCCACCCACACACTTGGCATTTTTTCGCATGCACTGCACAGATATCAGGTGCGCGCCGAAGTGTTTAGCCTCGCTGGAACCTATCACAGCAACAACACCACACACCTTGTACTGGGGTTTCAGCTATAGTTTTTTGTTATTACACTGTTGGTTCAGTTTACTTATGATTTTTACACTGGCAAAATCAATATTAAAAAAACCGTAAACGCTGATTTGGACACCTCGTTGGCCGGGGCACGCTGATCCATCAGCATACCCTCAAACCAATCTGAGGGCCTGGTGCACGGCTTCTAATGAAGCTGAAACATTCAAGGGGCAGCTCGGTGATCGTGTATTGTGGAACCTGCATGAGGACAAAGACTTGCATGATGAGCTGTGACATGTGCTTGTAGTATCATGGAAGGACATGGTACCTGAGAAGCAGAAAGTGTCAAGATTAGCAGGCAGAAACAGAAATGAAGAAAGGAGGTGTTTCACTAGCAGTAGTTGGGATACATGTAGCAAACCCTAACTGGGTTGTACTCGCTATAGAGCACCCCACTACAGGCTAGATAATAACATTCTGACACACCCCTATAGCCAAAGTGGGGTGTAATCAGTACAATGAGCAGGCATAGCAGTAGTTCACAATTACAAGCAAAGCTAGAGGCTATCACAGAGGGCAAGTTGTCATAACATCATAGCTTATGCATTTTGTGTAGGCTATAATGGGGTAGCCCATAAGGGGTACAACCCAATTAGGCTTAGTACTTGTACCCAACTCTTTCATAGTTGATTCATTCTCGTTTCTTCTCATGGTATCGAGCAGGTTCCCTCGTGGGAACTGTTCCTAGGGCCCACCAAAATCGAACATTTTTTTTTCCTGCCCGCAGCGCGCCTCGCTTAGGCCCCCTTAGCGGCCCGTCGCCACCCTACGCGGCCCGGCGCCGCCCTTTAGCCGCCCGTCCCGGCTCATCGACGCCCGTGTGCCGCCCGTCCCGGCCCCTCGTCGCTGTCCCGGCCCGTCGCCGCCCGTGCGGTGCCCGCCCCGGCCCGTCGCCGTCTGTCCCGGCTCGTCGCCGCCCGTGCGCCGCCTCTCCCGGCCCGTCGCCGCCCGTACCGGCCCGTGCGCCGCCTGTCCCGGCCCGTCGCAGCCCGTACCAGCCCGTCGCTGCCCTTTGCGGCGTCACGTGCCGCCCCTACCCGCGGCTCTGCCGCCTTACCCGCGGCCCCGCCACCCTACCCGTGGCTCCGCCGCCCTACCCTACCTACGGCCCGGCCACCCTGTCAGCGGCCCCGGCACCCTACCTGCGGCCCCGCCGCCTCACTCTCGGCCCCGCCGCCTCACTTAGCGGCCCCGCCACCCTACCTGCGGCCCCGCCGCCTCACTCTTGGCCCCGCCGCCTCACTCAGCGGCCCCGCCACCCTACCTGCGGCCCCGCCGCCTCGCTCTCGGCCCCGTCACCTGCTGCAGCGCCGCCCGCCACCCGAGCCGTCTCACTCGGCCGAGCAGCCGACCGCCGCGCCGCCCTACAGCAGCACAATCGAGCCGCCCAGCAGCAGAGCAGCCGAGCCGCCCAGCAGCCGAGCCGCCCAGCACCCGAGCTGCCCAGCAGCCGAGCCGACCAGCAGCCGAGCCGCCCAGCAGCAGAGCCGCCGAGCCGCCCAGCAGCCGAGCCGCCGAGCCGCCCTACTTCCGGGCCGCCCGACCTGCCCAGTCTGGTGAGCACAGCGCCTTTTTCACTGCACTGCCCTCACCCTACTGTTTGCACTGCTAGTCGTCTAGGTTCATGGCTACCCCTAGTGTCCTCGCCTTTGACGCTGAGGGTCGGGCCATTGACTTTGAGGTCTGGGTAGATGATCTGCAGCTGTTCTTACAGTGCGATAGGGCAGACGGCCTCTCTCTCTTTGACCTCACCTCTGGCGCTTCCCCTGCCCCTACTCCTGATGCTGACGCCACTGTTCGCTCCCAGTGGGCCACGCGCGACGCTGCTGCACGTCTTGCTGTGCGTCTCCACCTCCCTACCTCCGAGCGTGCGCACTTTAGTCAGTACAAGAGTGCTCAGACCTTGTACGACGCTGTAGTCGCGCGCTACTCCTCCCCTGCCACTGCTGCACTGAGCCGTCTTATGCTACCGTACCTCTTTCCTGACCTTGCTGCCTTTCCCACAGTAGTTGACCTCATTACGCACCTCCGCACTAGTGACAGTCGCTACCGCGCTGCACTTCTGCGCCAAGAACCCCCCCCCCCCCCATTGTACATCAGTCTCTACTACATAGTCACTCGCCTCCCCTTCCTGCTGACTTCTGCGCCAAGAACCCCCCCCCCCCCATTGTACATCAGTCTCTACTACATAGTCACTCGCCTCCCTGACTCCCTTCGTGTAGTCAGGGACCACTTCCTCTCAGTCTGTCCCACCACTCTCACTGTCGACCTCCTCGAGAAGGCCCTCCTAGCGATAGAGAAAAGCATAGTCACTGTAGGAGCCTCTCGAGGTGACCTGCGCACCCCCATCTTTGAGGGGTGTTCCCCCTCCCCCCTTCTGCCCTCTGTTGCCTCTGCTGCTGCGGCTGACCTCCTTGGTCTTGAGTCGGTCGGTGCGGCGTCTGCCTCTAGCGGGAGACGCCGCCCTGGCAAGGGCAAGGGGGGCAAGGGCGCTGGAGGAGCGAGCGGGGGCGGTGGAGGTGGAGGTGGCGGCGGTGGGGGGAGTGGGGGTGGCAGTGGGAGTGGAGGTGGGGGTGGAGGGGTCGGTGGCGGCAGTGGAGGCGGAGGCGGCGGCGGCGGTGGCGGTGGGAGCGGAGGTGGCGGAGGTGGCGGCGGTGGAGGCGGAGGCGGAGGCGGTGGCAGTAGCGGAGGCGGCGGAGGCGGTGGAGGCGGCGGGGGTGGCGGTGGAGCTGGTCGCGGGTCTTCGCAGAGGAGTGGCTCCGGTGGTGGCTCGCGCCAGCAGCAGCAGCGCGGTCGTGAGACCCTGTCCCCTCAACAGCTCCGTGAGTGGTACACTGCACGCCAGCGAGGTGGGGGTTTTGGTCCGTGCTCCTACGTTCTGCGCACCGGCGACCGTGCGGGTGAGCGGTGTGGGGGAGCCCACCCCACCCAGCGCTTCTTTGGCCGCCTGACGGACGCGTGGCATCACCAGTTCCCGGAGGCCTCACAGATCCCTCGCTCGGGCGAGCTGTCTAGGGCGGGTGTTGCCATCTATGATCTTGACTTTGATGCTATTCTCTCTGCCATGTATGTTGTGTCTATTAGTGATGAGGGTGACTGTTACCGGTGTTTCCCGCCCGATTCGAGCATTGAGACTGCTGTTGTAGGTACTGGTGAGGCGACTGCCCTAGGTGCTTGCGACGCTGCTGCTCTAGGTGCTAGTGTGTCTGCGTCCTCAGGTACTGGTGAGTCTGCGCTCTCAGGTACTACGCCGGCTTCGGCCTCCCTCACCTTCACCCTTGACTCTGGGGCGTCTCGCTCCTTCTTTCGGGACCGCACCA